AACTTCTACTTCGTAAATGTAAAATTTCAATTTTAACTCTGTTATAATTCATAATTTTATCTAATAAAGAACTAGAGAAAAGACCTCCCTTGATAAAAAAAAAAAAAAAAAAAAAAAAAATGTTCCTTGTTTTGTTATCGATTTAAATAAAGAAACTTGCTATTTATTCGAAATATATAACTACCTGCCAGATAAAATACGCTTATTCCTAATTTCCTTTAATCAACTCAAGCGCCTAGTTACTGTTTTAAAAAAACTTACAAGCTATAGAGACACACAGTATATAGTTAAAGTTATATGATCTGAAATTCTATTTAAGTCCGGGCACTCCAAAACCGCGTATCAAGTAAAATTGATATAGTCAAAATTTTATAAAATTTTGTCTATAAAACCCCCTCTTTTACCTTTTCGCTCTTTAACGAAAGATTTAATGCATTAAATATTAAATATAATAATAATAATAAAGTTACCTAAACACAATTAAAATATTACAGAAAACAGGAGGAAACGTTGAACGTCATAAAATTGGTACACAATTGATAAAAAATTTTTTTATATTATTTTACAATACTTTTTTGGAAGGCTCGTTTGACTTATCTTTTCTATGAATATTGAAAATGATTAAACAAACATGAAGCTCTCACTTTGCTTTACAACATATTTTTTGAATCCCCTTGAATCCCACGGTTTCGTCTTTTTGTAAATTTCGCAATTTGATTGGTTGACAAATCCCGTAGTGATATTTTGACTGGTCGAAATCATATCTATATTTGGACGTTTCCTCCTGTTATTACAGAAACGTCAAAAGAAAAATCAGTCATGCGTGATAATAACAACGTATGTTAATTTGTTTTTGAATATTCTAATAAAATATGGTGTCCTCCTGGGTGGTTATATCATTCTAGCTTTAAGAATATTCGAACATGTCTGACGTTCAGACATATTAATATTTGAATAGTACCGTGTTAGCTGGCTATGAATATTCTGTGTGCAATAATTTACATTATAAAAGTTATTTATTTGAAAAATAATCTAATAATTATATTTTAACTTTCTGCAAATAGAACAGATTTACTGTTTTAAGTGATTTGACGGATTTCTCTTAAATCGCGACAAAAAAAGGGTCGACGATAAATGAAATAATTATCTTAACTATTTACCAATGAATGGATGGTGATTGTTTTGAAATCGAAGCTTACAATACGTTAAATGAATCTTTTACTACCAGTATATCTGAAATATCAAATACTACTGAAATATCAGATACAACATCTGAAACATCAAATAATCTTAAATGTAAATAGTATAATGGTCTTTACAACAATATTGTAATAGAAGAAATCGAGAAAATCAATTATATGAGCTTGTGTGGCCTTATTACCAAAGGAATTTTAACCTACGATCAAAAGGAATTTTGTCAACCTACGACCAAAAGGAATTTTATCAACCTACAATCAAAAGGTATATACGTCCTAAACAACCTATAATCGACGATAAATTGCACTACTACTGTATTAGAAAAAAAAGTTGAGGAACTCAATTCACAAAAAGAAATATGCACCACGAAACCTGTTTTCTCAATAGCCAACATGGCCTTTATTTATAACAAAAGTTCACTATTACATATATAAATGATATAATAGCTACATGTAAACGTCGAAATAATATTAGACAAATATACTGTATGTGCTTAAAGTCAAATTTTTAGAGGCCTTAAATCTGTAAATAGAGTTGTTTCTTGCATGAAGTGTGAGTATACATTTTACGAATTTTAAGATATTGATGGCCACGGAGAGATTATATTGATGTAAAACTTATTAATTTGCTCTCACCCGGCCGCGAAAAACAAGAAAATCTTTTTTGCTGAATTTTTTATTTTGCACATATGAAATCAGTTAAACTATCATCACAAAAAAATTATTAAGAGTTGGACTTTTATTTAACCGTTTAATTTATTGGCCCAGGAAATATGAAACAATTTTTTTATGTGGGTAAACTAAATTCATTCGCTCAAAATATCCAAGCTAAAATAATTACCTAACAAAAAAAAAAATTATAAAATATCTAGTATGATTTCTATTGCGAAAAAGAAAAATTTCAAGTGCATATACGTACTTTTCATTAATGGTAGATAGCTTAGAATTCCTTAAAAAGATCTATTTATACTAAAACAAAAGAATTTAAAAATATAGTAATGATGAAAGCTTAGCTTCAATGACACCTAAAAAAATAATGAGCTAAAGAAATTAGTAACGGTAAATACTTTTTTACGTCATATAAAGTTCAGAACCAAACTTATTAGGGACCGGACCGGACGAACATTTAACACAATTCCCACTCATTGTTCGATTCTCACAATTACTAAAGTTTAAAGTTATGTTATCTCTTAATCTCACCTAATCTACTTACAATTGATATTGTTTTCATTTTCAATGCTATATAATAAAAGCACAACGGAATATCAAGTTTGAATCACACGCAGTTTATCATTAAGATTTTACAATTACGAAGCAATGCTTAAAACATATAAAACATGACGTTGAGATGCTTCAGTGATGATAATGCACCAAGGCATTTTTTGGAGGTATCTACTTTCAACTTTATATATAATCATTATCATTAAAGTAATTTGCTTATACTATCCTGTTATCGAGATGTCTATTGATTCTTAATGTTTGCGTTTAAATATAAAAACTAAACATTAACTCCAAGGGCAAAACAAATAATGGGAGCATGACATTAACCTAAATATCAATTTTCAATTTTAGCAGGTTTACAATAAAGTAAGTTATATTTTTGAGTTGTCAAAATTATATAGTATATGACAAAAAGCAATCCTGAGAAAATGACAACTTCATTAAACCATAAAGTATACAAGTTAGTAAAAAAAATTTCGATAGCTATCAACTTTTTGTCTTCCTAAAGGTGTCTAGTAAACGCGTGTTTTTTCTTGTTTTTAAATTAAATTTTTAAATGTAAATTTAACGAATAAGTATACATTATCCGATAATTTATGATCATGATTGGTAGGGAGTCACTCGCTGAGTTTGTTTTTTTTGAATATTGGAAAAACATAATTACATCGTAACTAAATATTACGGTTATTTTGTTTAAAGAAATAAATGATAAAAGAAATTTTTAGATTTCCTTATCGAATTATTGTTCGAAAGTTAAAAAGAATCATCAAGACAAATTGTTATTTAGATTGCATACATGAAAACAATACCATACGCTGTGAAACTTTGCAACATGAGATCATGTATCACTCCTGAAATCTTCAGACTTTTTTAATCACGCAAAAGTTACATATGACTGTGTTACTCATTTGTTATTCTCCTCATAACTCATGCTAATGATGATTACAATTAATTAACTGTTAATTATTTTGATTTTCCTGTTAAAGGTTTGAATTTTCAAAGTATGCATGTACTGTACACGCGTACGTACGTACGTACAATACCAGATACCTGATACCAGATGATAATTTTTTGTTACTCTAAGTTAAGGGAGATAGGACAGATTTTAAATTAAAGTTTTCCCGTAAAGATATATATATATATATATGAAACATATGATTGATATACAGTTTGTTTCTGCACCCCTTCACTTTCTACCCTGGACGTACGTATAGTACATACGAACTGTACTGATTATTTCACAGATATGTATTATGATGTGCATACTAATATGTATGCACGTATCATCTCGCTACTACTGTACTACAGTACTACACGTAATATGTACGCACGTATCATCTTGCTATAACAATATTAATTTATTCTTAACTTATTAGGTAAAGGGAATGATAATTCACCTGCTTTTTTTTTTAATAATTAATTTGCATGTAGGGATGTTAAGTGGTCCACGATGAACTGGTTCGTTCCGAGTCTGGGCTGGACTTTTTAGACATTTTAAGGACAATTTAGAACTAGTCGAAAACTAATCCGATTTTTTTGACAGGGTGTGAACTCGTTTTCAACTATTCCTGGACCAGGGACCGGACTGGGACCGAACCAGACGTACCACTTAATATCCCTATTTGCATGTTCATGTGGTTAAAAAAAATTTTTTAAATTACACAAAATTCTGATTTAAACGTTGATTTCGCATGCCAAAACTCTATTTCGTCATATGGTGACGGGAAATAACATATTAAAAACGTACTATACTCTTTATGAAATTTTATATAATAAATTTAAAATTTAATCGTTGTTCTAATTATGTCATGAAAAAAAAATTTCATATATTTTGATTATATCACCATACATCAGAGAAAAAAAAATAATATGATGCGATCAATAAAAGAATTAATTTATGCATCGTATAATTTAATTGTTATAAAAATCCAACGTCTCTAAAAATTGGACTTCTCGCGATTCCATTTCGATTCGTGAAAAAAAAAAAAAAAAAAAAAGAAAAGAAATATGGGAAATCATTCTAGTGTTGCTTCTAAACCTTGGATTTCATTTAAAACAAGTTTAATAAAAAAATATGAAAAATATAGTGACAGTAAAGATAAAAATGATGATGAATATCAAAATGTATTTATTATTATTTTAAAAGATTCTTTTTTTTTTTTTCTTAATATCTTTATTTTTTTTTAAAAAAAAAAAAAATTGGTGATATTATGGTGACATGAATTTTTTAGGATATTACAGAAATTCAGCGTGAAAAAGAATTTCGTCAAAAACAAATTTCTAAAAATCATTACGGAGATTATATTTTTGATCATCGTGCGTTGTTGAAACGGTAATGATCTGTGATTTTTATTCTATAGCGTATATATATATGTATAGATATAGATATTGATGCTTTATCTTGCTTCATCATATTTTCATGATTGTTCGCCAAAAGAGGGCCATTCGGTACTATTCATTTGGCTGTAGTACGTCCAAAAAAGAACGACTCCTCTCTTAGAATGGTAATCGTAAAAGTTACTCCAATCGCAGTAAAATATTATAATCGTTGGTTTATAGGGGAGAAATGTGTTAACGAAGCAAACGCAATCAAATGGAATAATGAATATGTCAAGAATGAAGCCAAGACTCTGTCGTGTCTTTGTCATGCAAGTTTATATTAATGATAAAATTTTTTTCATTTTTAATCATATCTTTCATTTATCGTTTTTTAACGTCTCTATTTTTTATTTTTAGCCAAATATTATTAATTTTGTAGGATGGTTCATGAATAGGGACGCGTTTTATTTAATTGTTGATTATCATGAAGGTGGAACTTTAGCCGATTTTATTCCACCATCTGGTAAAGACGAAGATTCGGCCCTTCGTTTAATGATTCAAGTTTTTGAAGCAATTAAATATATCCATGATAATAATATTGCTCATTGCGATATCAATGTATGTTTCATTTTTATATTACTAAATTTATATAATTATACCCTTTTTTTTTTTTTTAATTTGTTTAAATATATTTTTTTCCTTTATTATATAGCCTGAAAACATTTTATTTTCATCAGATCGTAAACGGTTAATCTTAACTAATTTTGATCATTCTCAATTAGAATGTGATGACTTAATAAAAGATTCCGAATCTGTTCAAACTAAAATTGAATCCTCAAAAGTTTTGAAAGGAAAGGTAATTATTTTTTTTATAATCTTATTTTTATCCTTTTTTTTTTTTTTTTTAAAGTCTTTCTCAATTTGCAGGCTGGATTTTACGGTCCGGAATGTGATCCACGTGAACACATTCCGTTCAAAGGTTTCAAAAAAGCTGATATGTATAGCTTAGGTGTAACCATTTACGTTGTGTAAGTTCTTTCTCCTATTATATGATATAAAAAAAAACATCATTAAAAACATTAAAATCATTGCATCAATCCCTAGTTTAACGTATCATCTACCATTTGATCCAACACAATCAATAAGACATCAATCATTATATTTTCCTGATCATATATCATTATCAGGTACGTACGTATGTAAATATATCTTTCAATTCTCACACTTTTTTGATAACATAAATATGCACGTATTCTATTTACGTTTACGTACTGTACGTACTGTACCGTACGTACGTACGTACGTAAAATTTTTTTATAATCTTGTAGCTCAACATTTTATTCAAAATTTACTTTCTATCGAACCATCACGTCGTATGACTATATCTGATTGTTTTAATGATTCTTGGTTAAGAATTCATGATATCTCAGGTCGTCGTCCAAAACGATCTTCAAATATTACAAATCAATCAAAAAAATTTGATAAAAAACATTTTAATAATCAAAATAATTTAAATAATAATAATAATCATCATCATATTAGTTATTCTCGTCGTCGTAATCATCTTTTTAGTCAAAAAAATTGTGATATTAGTTGTACATCTAATTAACTTTTTTTTTACACTCATGAAAAAAAAAATTAATTGTATATACCGAGACTTCCTACGGTTATTATCGGGACCTATGGAAACTTTATATAGATAACGCGATTATATAGATTATTTTTATACGTATCGATATATTTAATATTTATATAATATATAATATATTATTATTATTATTATACATATAAATAAATGTACTTATACTGTATGGCAATGAGACTGTATATAATTTGTATAATTCGTATAATTTCTTTTTTCAACATAGATAACAACATTTAAATCGAAATAATTAATATTATATTGTAAACAAAGTTATTCAATTGTTCTTTATTTCAGTATTTCAAAATATAAAATATTCCGAAATAAACTAGTGTTTTTGTTTAAAAAAAAAGGTCCTTGTAAATTTTAAAAATCTTTGGAAATTTTAAAGAGTTTGTAGATTTTAATTTGCATACAATATTAAAGTGCAATTAGATGAACTATACATATAAATAAAAGCTTTAAAAGCCATCCTTACGAAAAAAAAAATTGCAATTTATAATGTACCAAATTAACATAATTATACAGCTAAAAAAAAAAAAAAATAAAAAAAATACATCAAGTCAAAATTCGTGTCATTCTATTTTAACTTAAAAGTGAATAATCAATCTACGTTCTCGTTGGATTTTCCTTTACTAGGTTTTTCTTTTCTATCGGCATCTCCAGCTTCTTGTAATTGTTCACGAATAATTGAATCATACCAATAGGCATAAACTTCACGATTATATCTTCCCAATATGGTAATTTTTCGACTCAATTGTTCTAATTCTTTAGAAACCGCAATCACTCCGTGCTGAGCCAATGTTTCCTTTTTAGGAAATTGTCCCGTTTGAATATGTTGTTTAACAATATTTTGAATTCTACGGGACAAGAGAGAAAATACTTTATCAGATTGTGAAAGTGTCTTGGAAACCATTGATTTAATTAATGTTTGAGTCTCAGGTGAAAGAGGTGATGGAAAATATGCTATAATTTCGGCCGCCAAGTTATCAATAGTTGTATCTCCATCCGTCAACAGAACAAAAAGAGTATCCTTTAAGGTTGTAAGATCATCATCAGAAACGTTACCAACTTTTCCATTCACCACATTTTTAGTAAGCATTAACAAAGCTGCCACAATTGTAACGGCTTGTCCTTCATTTTGATAATTCCAGAGTCTTTCAATATCAAGCAAAAGAGTTTCAGGACAGTTGTTTTTACCAATCATTGATGATTGGAAAATGAAAGAGACAAAAGACTCATTGAATACTTGATCAAACTTAATACCGTAATTATGTTTATGTTGTGGCAGATGAATATTTTCTGGATTGCGCTCTGCTCTAGTACGCAAAAGGGAATCAACTGTTTGTTTAATCCATGGTTTTGTCAAGTCAAGTGTTAAACGTTTAGATTGTAAAGCTTGTTCAAATTTGCGACGTTCATATTCAATAGCATGCTCTTTTATGTAAGGTCTGAAAGCCTTAACACGATAATTAGTGAGATCCAGTCTCATTTGATCCAATATATTTAATAATTTTTGAAAGATCTCAGCGAGATCATTTAAATCTTTGAGTTCTTTAATTTCTTCATCACGAACTGGTGCACATATTTGAAGCATTGTATTCGTAATAAAAACAATACAATTGTGAATATTATAAACTCCCGCTTTTGTTTGTTGAGTAATCAAATCAATATCAAGAACATCATTGATGGACGAATATAAAGAAGAAGTAGATGGAACAAGATCGAGAAGGCGCTATAAATTAAATATATATACATTAGTATATTAATCAATTCAATTGTTGTAAAATTATTAAAAAAAAAAACATACCTGCTTAACATCAGATAAAAGCTCAGGAATCCATCTCTCATATCGTCCTTGATTAAAGTCATCTCTTGCGGAATCAAAGAAAGCCTTGGTGGCCATAGCTCGTACACGCTCTTCCAAATCGGAAAGCTTTGGAGGCTTCAACTCGAAATTTGGATCAATAATGATTTCATGAGCAAGTTGTTCATTTGTTAAACCAGAATTAACTTGAGTACCACCAAGGCTTTGAATAATACGGTTAAGGTTAACATTTGTTGTTGATTTTTTATGTGAGGCAGAAGGAGTATTGGTTGAAGAGGTCGTAGGTTGAAGATTTGAACTATTTAATTCAACGGATCCGTCAGTTGCTAAGGTTTGCGGTACGAAAGATTGTCGTGGAGGTAAACCTGAATCTTGTTCTCTATGATCACTTGTTTGATCATTTACAGTACCAGTTACAGAATCTGAGACGTCAGCGTTTTCACTACCATTAATTGGTAAGTTTGCTTTTAACCTTCTAAGAACTCTTTCCAATTTCGCCGTCGCTTCGTCACCACCTAAATTACGTATTTTACGCCTAATTTCTTCTTGTTGCTCGACAATATTCATTCTCCATTCGGTTTCCGCATTTGCCTGATTTTTGACAGTATTCCATAATTTTTCTAGTTCCACATAATGAGTAATAAGATTACTTGCTAATTTTTCAGAATCTTTTGATTTCCAAGTATTAAAATCTTTATAATAAGCATCCCATGATGAAAGAAAACTAAGAAGATTGTTGTAAGATATTTTATTGAAATTAGCATTATCGATTTCCGAGAACCATTGTTCAAGTTCTTTTAACATATTCTTGGACGAATTTAAAAGGGTCTAAAAAAAGATAAATAACCAGTTAAAAAAATGGTATTCTTTTTTCCTAATACGATTTTAAATATAAAAAATTACATACTTTTTCAAGACGACCAACATCAACAAGAATTTCATTTGTGTGTGCCACGATCATATAAGCACTCAAAAATATTCTTGCAGGATTTTTATATTTACTAGCACCCGAAGTAACAGTAGAAGATTTCCTCACACGTTGTAAAAATTTATTTGTTGCTTGAATGACAGCATTTTCTTTTAATAAGTTAACAGAATCACGAAAAGACATTTTTTTGATGGTATGCATTGTAATACCGAAACTACGGTAAGTTTTAATAACATCAATAAGATGTTTGAAACGCCAATTATTTTGAATAATAGTAGCAGCCTCTTCACGAGTATAATGAGGAAGATCACTATCAAGAACATGTGATTTAGAAACAGAGAGAAGTCTTGCTCTACGAGCAGCAGTTGCTTTTTGACGACGTTCTAAATCAGCTCGACGTCGATCAATTTCTTCTTGATTTTTTAATTGTTGTTGACGAGCGACCTCTTTACATCTAGCAACTTCCTGAGCGCATTGTTCAACTAACCGTTGTAAAATAGTATTTCTATTTTTTTCAGCAACTTGTAAAGTTTGTTGAATATGAGATCGCTTTGTAAAAGATTCATTAAGAGCACGTTCATGTTGTTTAATTAAAACTTCTTTAACGTGCAAAATTTGACGAGCCAATTTGAGACGTCTTTGTTCAAGTAAAGCTTCCCTTTTAATACGAGCATCATTACGGTCGCATTGAGGTAATTTTTTATGACCATGTCCGTGAACGTAAGTAGTAGTAGACCTTTTAGATTTCATCCTTCTTTCAAGATGAAAAGGACGTTTGCTCGCATGATGGAGAGGCAAAACATCTATGACATAAAAACCAGAATTCGTTTTATGCATCTTTGATCTTTAAATTGGTATATTTTAATATAAATATAATAAATTCAAAATAAAAAACATAAATTAGCTTCACCACAAATACGTGGTGAAAAAGGTTGTAATTTATTCAAACAATGTATAAATATATATATTCTTAAAAAAGAAAAACAGCAACTTACTTTGAGAAACACTTGTAGTTTTACCTTTGTTATTTTATTTAAATAAACTTTTTTGCTAATATTTTACAAAGAGAAGAAATAATAATAAGTTAGTTTTTACGAAACCAAACGACGAATAATTTTTATAAAAAGGTACGACGGAAACCATACGAATTATTTGATTAGTACTTACAAAGCCCTTGAAATAAGCAGAAGAATAAATAGTAAGACAGTTTTACAAACTTTTTTTTTATTGTACAACGAATATTAAGGTTCCTGTACGAACGGAGTATAAAAAAATTTGACAGGGCTGAAACTTATATTTAGGATCTATATATATGAATAGATATTTGATGAACATTCGATCTGAATGACTCATGATGATGTGTCACAACCAATCAAATGATCGAATAGACTAAATATAGAATTTAGTCACATGGTTACTTCCTGCGTTTTCTGCGGGGAATTGCACCATTTTAAACAATTAATTAGTAATGATTGGCTCCATTGTAACTTTGTAAAGTATAATAGAGTTAACATTAATAGAGTTATTTTTTTTTCGTTTTTTGATTTTTAATACCGATACACTAATAATAAATACTCATTAGGTAACATCCTATGGACGTATGCACGTATGTATGTACGTGCGTGCGTACTGTACATGTACGAATATTTCAAAAGAAGATAATAACCAATCAGAAAATACAAAGTAACGAAAATGGATGAAAATAGGAGAAATAACTGTTTGGAAAAATGATGAAAAGGCTATTTTTTTTACATATAATACGTAATAATGTCCTAATTAAATCTTTATTTCACGTGTTTATTGGCTTGTAATACTTGCATATTGTATTACTAATTAGGCCTTCAAAAAGTTCGGTTAATAACGATAATAATGAAATTATTAATCACTCTGGTGGTACTCTGTTTTACTAAATTAATGAGCCCTTTAGATTAGATGTTAACATATATTTATGTAAATTCACAATTATTTGGAAAACTGACATAATCAATGGGCTGATTGGTTAATAAAAAGCATTGTTAAAGGTTGATATTATTGGCGTGCTGCGGTAATTATATAAGTAACGCCAAGGAAAAAATTGTGTCATCCTTTTTAAATACTATGTTTATATGTTTATTAGTAATAAAAAAATACCAAGTAATTTAACACTTGTTCAATCGTATCATTAAGGCAATTCAAATTGATATTGAAATAAGAAGTGTTTGAAGTTACTTCATATTAAAATATTTTTATTAAAAGTATGGAAACGGCTGAAAAATATAAAACCACTTTATTTTAAAAGCTAACTTTTTTAAAAAAAAATAAACCCCAAAAAAAAATTTTAAAATTTGAGCTTCAGTTGTGACATAAGCGTGGCTTGCAGGTTTTCCCGCGGAGGCACTCCTATATAAAATTAAGCTCATTTATTTTTTATTAAAAAAGCCATGATATCATTTTATGATATGTTTAATTGACGCCTAATTTTAAATACTGTATTACCATCCCTATATCAATTTAAAAATTAAAATTCTTTTAAGTGCACATTCCATTACCGAATAAAAAGAAACAAAACGTTGCAAAAACTTTATGTTTTGGGACTTGCTTATATTCGGTCTAATTTATTAGTAAAATATATTTGGTAATATATTATTTATATTTTACGTCAAATTCTAAATACTAAGTTTCTTTAGGATTAGAGTGAAAAGCCTATGTTAAAGATTGGTACTGGAGTATAGTAGGCATTAAAAGTAACCCGTTTTTAATAAAATGAAACAAATATATATAAAATTGATTTATTATCGTGATTAGTCTATTTCCATATTCGTCCATGTTCAATCAAAGAATATGGTCCAATTACCAACATTTGCCAGACAAATAAGTAACAGTTACATCAGCTGTTTATCGCGAAATGAAAAAAGAACATTGGATTGAGCAAAGTGAAACGTGCTGTCGAATATGTTTAAAGTTCTCATCAATTAAGAATTTCTTGAATTTTATTGCAGGTTGGTTCATTTTGAGATTATTAGACTGTGATCAATTTTTTTCAAAAATATGATTTGTTGGCTTATATTAAATTTGTAAATAATATTATATATATAAATTTTATATATTATTACTTATTATAATCTTCAATTTTTTGAAATTGTATTAAAACATAATTTGACATTTTTTTTAAAACAGCCAATAACCTTTACTGATAAAAACAACCATTAAAATATTTATTTTATCAAAGTAAACATTTTGGTATATAGTTGTTTTATCAAAAGCAGACCAATAGATTAAATAATAAATATTTAATGTTCTATTTCGCAACTGCAATTATAAACTTTATAACCGAATGTAAATAAATAATTTTATACTTACCGACTAAATTAATTAATATTAAGTAAATAAGTATTTATGATCTTGTTTGTGAACTTGTTTTGCAGTTTTTAATTCCATTGATTAATAAATAAATGTTCTTTATACTCACTCACTAAATTAATGCGGATGAAATGAGTTTAAACGTAATGATAAATAAGTATTTATGATCTTGTTTTGTGAACTTTTTTGCTGTTTTTAATTCCATTGATTAATAAATAATAAATGTTCTTTATACTCACAAACTAAATTAATGCGAATGAAATGAATTTAAACGTAATGATAAATAAGTATTTATGAACTTGTTTTGTGAACTTCATTGATTAATAAATTTTCTTATACTCACTGACTAATAATACGAATAAAATGAAATGAATTTAAACGTAATAGTGAATAATAAGTAAGTATTTATGTTCTTTATTTGTGAACTTGTTTTGCTGTTTTTAATTCCATTGATTAATAAATGTTCTTTATATTCACCTACTAAATTAATGCGAATGAAATGAGTTTAAACGTAATGAATAGTAAATAGGTATTTATTATGATCTTGATTTGTGAACTTGTTTTGCTGTTTTTAATTCCATTGATTAATAAATAAATGTTCTTTATACTCACCCACTGAATAAAATGATTAATGCGAATGAAATGAATTTAAACGTAATGGTAAATA